GGGGCACGGGTTTCGGCGCTACGCGGTGATCATCAGGGGGTCCGACGAGAAGGTGCCCGACAAGGTCGGGGTCTACGACAACAGTCTCATCCTCGACCAGGGGCATCTGCCCAACCTCGGCGCGGCGCTGCGAAGGCGGGCCCGGGGAATCGCAAGGGGCGCCTTCCTGTTCGACTTCCAGCTGAAGGAGGTGCACGACCTGATGAACCAGGCAGCTCTCGACCTCGGGCTGCGCGACCGCCTGTCGCTCTACCAGTGTCGGCACGGAGGAGCCGCCCACGACCTCGTCGGCAAGCACAGAGACAGGGCCACGGTGATGGCCCGCGGCAGGTGGCAGACGGAGAGCTCCGTTCGTCGGTATACCAAGATCGGAAAGGTTCAGAATATGCTCGCGATGCTCGTGCCTCACGTCCTCGACCATGTGAAAAAGTGCGCGGCCGTTCTCGACGACGTGCTGATGGGGCGGAAGGCCGCCCTCCAGCCGCCCCAGGCCGTGAGGAGGTGAAGCGCTCGCGGCGCAGGTCTCCAGCTCCGCGATCGCGTGGAGCTCGATGGGGGCTCGTTGGGCGCCGTGGGTGTCTTGAGGTTTTCTCGGGATCTGGCCGCTTGACTGCGTCGTTGAGAGGCCACGGCATCCGGGCGGAGGGCTTGGACGTTCTTAACAATGTCGACCTGTTGGTCAAGAAGAACCAGCAGAGAGTCCTTGCCCTTATTAGAAGCAGGAGGGTTGGTTGTCTCTGGTTCGGGCTGCCCTGTAATACTTGGAGCAGAGCTAGAAGATGGGGAGGAACTGGTCCAGGGCCTCTTCGGGACGAACAAAAGTATATCATGGGACTCCCTGGGCTGGGTGAAAAAAAGACGCCAGGAAGGTCAAGGAGGGGAACCAGTTGATGTGGTTTGTCGTGCGCTGTTGCCGGGCCGCGTCAAAAGCTGGGGTCCCCTGGACTATCGAGAACCCTCGCACGAGTCGTGTCTGGAAAGCCCCGGCTTTGAAAAAGCTCGCCAAGATGAAATATTTCGGGGCCGAGGTTTAATCTCCCGCGTTTGTTCACCTTGATTTCTGCCAGTACGGTGAAGCGTGGAAAAAGAGTTCGACGTTGTTATCCCACGGACTTGATCTGTCCTCTGCTGGCCGCAGGTGTACTATGTCTGATGGGCTGTGTTCTCGGACAGGCTGCCGCCACACCGTCTTGGAGGGGAAAGATAGCTGTGGAAATTGGAATACGTTACGTGCTCAAGCTTATCCTAAAGAGCTGACTAAAGTGCTAGCAGGATTAATTTATAAACGCCTTGTAAGCAGTCCACTTCGTGGATAAGGGAGATCTCCAGGCCTCACCAGACCAAACTGTATGCGTTTGCAGCCGCCCAGAGCGGCTGTCCGTCAGCTCGTGCCATCAACCTTGTAACCTGCCGCGTAGGCGCGCTATGCGTCTGAAAATGTTGTCTGGCCAAGGGGGAGGGGTAGATCATGAGAGTGCGGTGCACAGCATTGATCGTGCCTCCCCGCGGCCGTTTTCAACCCTCAAGGATTTTTGCTGCGCCATCCCGAACCCCGTCCTGCCTCCCCTCTCTCTCTCTCTCTCTCTCTCTCTCTCTCTCTCTTCAATTGGGCGAGATCTCCAGGCCTCACCAGACCAAACTGTATGCGTTTGCAGCCGCCCAGAGCGGCTGTCCGTCAGCTCGTGCCATCAACCTTGTAACCTGCCGCGTAGCCCCGCTATGCGTCTGAAAATGTTGTCTGGCCAAGGGGGAGGGGTATATCATGATGATGATGATAATGATGATGACAATGATGATGATGATGATGATGAAGATGATGATGATGATGATGAGAAGGAGGATGCGAAGGACGGGATGAGGAGGAGGAGGGAAAGGGTGAGGAGGAGGAGGAGGAAAAGTAGGAGGAGGAGGAGGGGGAGGAGGAGGAATAGCAGGAGGAGCAGGAGGAGGACGCCTTGGAGAAGAATGGGGAGGATGAGGAAGAGCATGCGGAGGAGGATGAGTAGGGGAGTTGGGGCAGAAGAAGGTCGAGAAGGACAATGAGCGGGTGGAGGACGATGAAGGCGAGGCGGAAGAACATGAGGAGGAGGAGGACGAGCAGGAGGCGGAGGGGATGCTTGGCGGGGTCTCTTCAGAGCGCTTTCGAGGTCCTCTGGTGGGCAGTTTGGGGGCGTTTGGGGAGACTCGGGGTGCGTCTGGAGAGTTTGGGGCCTCCAGGGGCTTCTTAGGGGCTTCTTGGGGACGTCTTGGAGGCTTCTTGGGGCCTCCTGAGAGCTTTTCGGGGACGAGGGCTCGAGATGTCCGTTCAGGTTCCCCGTCTGGGCACCCTCTGGGAGCCGTCTTGGGTGCCTCTTGGCCTGTCTCGGGTCGTCTTGGGGCCCTCTTGGGCCATGTTGGGAAACTCTTGGGGGACTTTGGGCCGTCTTGGTGCGACCATGGGGGCCTCTTGGGCCGTCTTGGAGCGTTGGGAAGCGGAAGAGGCGAGAACGCCCAAATCCTTCGAACACTTGAGGGATTAATGAATGTTGCGTTTGGGGGCCTTCTTGGGAGTGCTCCTGGAGGCCTCTTGGGGCGTCTTGCAGGCCTCATGGGCCTTCAGGAGACCGTTAAGGCGTCTGGGACAGATCGTTCGGCGATGCGAGGCCTTCTTGGACTGCTTGGAGGCCTTTTCGGCACTCTTGGCCCGTCCTGGTGCTTTTGTTGGACCCGGGACCCCCTGGGAGGGATGCGTATCTGGGTGGTGTCCCCCTCCCCCCTCCTGGGACCGCCACCTGGGGAGTCGTATCTCCCGCGTGACCTCCCCCAGGAGGGCCCCCCCGGGACCCCCCTTCCCCCGACGGGGGAGGGATCAAAAGGAGGAGGTTCCCTTCGATTGAATTACGACGGGGGAGGGATCAAAGGGAGGGGTCTTCCCTTCGATTGAATTACGACGTTACTCAATTTTGCTTTGGCCAGCGCTCTTGGGGAGGAGGGCCCAGGAAGGGGGGGGGGAGCGGTGACGGGCCCAGGGGAATGGGGGCCAGAGGGAAAGGAGCCGGCAAATACGACGACTCACGATTGACGGAGAGGACGACTCGAACGGACAAGCCCCTCGCACATGCCGGCAGGGTCGGCGCGATGCGGCGATGCGGAGCCCGATGTCCTCCACGCCGTCATCGCCGATGCATCGCCGACGTCGCCAACGCATCGCCGATGCACCGCTATGCAGCGGCGATGCATCGGCGACGCGGCGCGTCCCTCCGACCCTGCCTGCTGGGACCCCACTTTTGGAGGCCTCTACAGGCTGCGCGGGCTCGCGGGCAGTCCTGCAGGGCCTGGGGGGAGGTGGAGGGTTTCTCCGAAGGGCTTAGGCGATCCGTCCTCCACCTCGTCCTCCTCCTCCTCCTCCTCCTCTTCCTCCTCCTCCTCCTCCTCCTCCACCTCTTTCCCCTTTCCTGACCTCCTCCTCCTCCTCCTCCTCCTCCTCCTCCTCCTCCTCCTCCTCCTCCTCCTCCTCCTCCTCCTCCTCCTCCTCCTCGGGTCGCCTACGGCCCCGGGGGGACACCGTGCAGGGGGAGGGGCCCAGCCGGGGGCGTGGGCACTCGCGCACCCCGCCGCCCGGGCCGTGCCCCCTGCCTCGTGGGGGCCAGCCGCCCGTCTCGCGGGGGCGCGCGCCAGCCGCAGCGGGCGCGCGCGGAGGTGGCGGCTGGCTGTCTTCCAATTGGGGGGCACCGCGCGCCCGTCGAGGCTCTTCGCTGGCGCCCCGGGCGCTCCGGTCGTCTCTCGGCGGCGAGCACAGGGGGAGCGCGAGGGGGCAGGCCTTCTCAGAAGGCGGCGGGGCTTCTCAGAAGGCCCGAGGCTTTCCGAGCCTTCTGAGAAGGCCCGCCCCCGTTCACGTCCCCCCTGGCTCGCCGCCGAACTCCCGCTCTTCGTTTCCATTCGTTGTTGGCGCGACCGCGCTGGGGCGGTGCACTCTTGGGGCTGCGAGCGAGCTGCGCGCGCCAGTAGCAGCCGCTGCGAGTGGGGAGTCAGACAGAAAAAGTTCAGGCAGCAAGCAGCCGCAAACGATTGCAAGCAACAGCAAAATCAGCAAGCGGCTGAAGCAGCAGGGCGTCCTACTGTCCCCGACGTAGTTGTCTAGATTCGGGCGTTGGGCTGCAACGAAGAGCCTGACACTGTTCGAGGGAGTCCCAAGAGGGTTTAAGAACGGCCCTAAATGGCCCCAGGGAGTTCCGAGGTCGGCGACAAGGCCGCGAAGATGACACGAGAAACCACAAGAATGGGCACAAGTCCAGGGACAGGTTCCGTCCAGGTTCCAAGACGCTCCCGGAGAAGCCTCAGTCAGCAGAGAAGCCTCCTGCTTTCCCATATTTTTGGGCTGTTCGCCCTTTCGGCTCAACATGGCTCCAAGGCTGCCCACAAGATCCCGAAGATCAGCCTGATCCAGTCAAGGGGTCCAATTGGCCTCAAACATGGCTCAGGAGGGCTCCCTGGGGAGCCCAAGATGGCCCAAGAGAGTCCCAAGACGGCGCCAAGGAAGCCGAAGAGCGCTTCCAAAGGCCCCGCAAACGCCCCGAGACGACTCATCAGGGCCCCTAGATGCTTCTCAAGTTCCCCAACAGGCCTCCAAGAGGCTCCTCAGACAGTTGAAGCGGGCCTCCGGAGAGACGATCGGCGGCCTCAGAGGATGCCGAGACCGTTCGGACGGCCCCGAGGTTCTCCACCAAGCCCACGGGGTCGGAAGAAGCTCACGAGAGGACCCCAGGAGAGACCCCAGGTGGCGCGGAGCACAACGCGGCAAACCGCAACAACCCGCAACCCACCGCAACAATCAGCAGCAAACATCACCGATCAGCAATACGTATCGGCAAATGGCTGCAACTGGCAGTAACACCAATCACCCGGCTCAACCAGCAGCCGTTCCCGCTGTGCCCGAAATCGTTGCCAAACCAACGTTTCTTAATTTGTTGTTTCCTTGGGGTCTCGTTGTGCGTCTAAGATAGCTCAATATCGCTCCCGAGACCACCTTGGCCCAAGGCTTTTGGCACACTGAGCTTCTGCCGCGAACAATCGGCCTCTGTTGCTCCACTCCTGCCGCGATGAACCGCGTGCTGCTCTCAGCATTCGCCGTCCTACTCGCCAGCCGTGGCTGCATCGCCAGCGGTGAGACCACCACCATGGAGGACCGCCGCCTGCTGGAGACCACCACGGCCGACGGTGACCCACCCGACGTCACAGGCTCGGGACGATCAAAATGGGTACGGAAAGTTGGGCCGCAATGCCTAACAGCAGTTCCTGTTCATTTTGAGCAGGACTCGCTGTCCGCGCCGCCGCGGACGTTGTTCATTGAAGGCAAGAAGGCGCCTGCCCAACAGCGGCCGCCGTCGGTTTTGGACAACATTTGTCGTTGGGTATTGTGCCCATTTGTTCCGTACCCTTTTCGGGCGTCCAAACAGGCGCGGCGGCCCGTAGCGGCGGCCTCGGCACCATGCTCCTGGCGCTCTTGGCGTTCACGTGCGTGGGCAACGCGGCTGGTGCCGCGGTGGACGAGTCCACGACCATGGCCAACGAGCGCCGCCTGCTGGAGACCACTACGGCCGACGGCGACCCACCCGATGTCACAGGCGCGGCGGCCCGTAGCGGCGGCTTCGGCACCATGCTCCTGGCGCTCTTGGCGTTCACGTGCGTGGGCAACTCGGCTGGTGCCGCGGTGGACGAGTCCACGACCATGGCCAACGAGCGCCGCCTGCTGGAGACCACTACGGCCGACGGCGACCCACCCGACGTCACAGGCGCGGCGGCCCGTAGCGGCGGCCTTGGCACCATGCTCCTGGCGCTCCTCACCTTCTTGTCGGTGGGCCACGCGGCTGGTGCCGCGGTGGACGAGTCCACGACCATGGCCAACGAGCGCCGCTTGCTGGAGACCACTACGGCCGACGGCGACCCACCCGACGTCACAGGCGCGGCACCCCGCTCGGCGGTCCAGACGGCGCCGGCCTTGGCCCTTGCTGCGGCGCTCGGTCTTGCAGCCCGGCGCTGATATCTGACGGGTCGCTGCCTGCAGAACGATCAGTTCCAAGCATGGCCTCTGAACCAGCCTGTATCTCGATCGCCGCCGCTGTCACCAGTGTGGCATCTCCTTTTCCTGACAGGCGTCGCTTGCTCCACCTTTGCTCGGCCCTTGCTGGACATGTGGCTCGCGAGGAATTCAAATCAGGCAGCCCCAGGCGTGGTGGCCCTCGCAAAACCGTGGGCCGCTGGCGCCGTTTTCCCCGAGGGCGGCCGAGACATGCGTTCACCTCCCTGTCGTCCCCCGCCAGAAGAAGCGGGAGGATTGACCTGGAGTTCCATGACCGATTTTGTCTACGGCGTGTGGCCGAGAGAGCCTCGGGCACATATCCGCCTGCCTCGTCAAGCGCAGACTTCGGATGAGCCACCATACGCGCAGACCACTGGCGCCACCTTGCCCGTCGAAGAGAAACGTATGGTCCAAGAGGGCTCCACGAGAGCCCTAAGATGGCCCAAGATGGCTCTAGGGATCTCTTCGGACGATTCGAGAGACCTCAGAGCGACCCCAAGATGCCCCAAGAGAGGCCCCATAACATGTTTGTTTGTTCAGTCTGGTTTTCGCCTCCTATTATTTACCGAATGCTGCTGCCCATATCCTAAGTATGGGGTTCTTATGTCCCATATTCTGAGAGGTGGTTTCTTGATATTTGCCATGTCCTCAGATAGGGCTCTAATCATTAGTGTGACGCCTCCACCTGCCTCCCTCCTTCTTCCCGTCTCCTTCCCTTTCGCACTCAGATTAGCTCATACTCAGATTCAATGTCGACTAGACGCACTCACACTCAGACTCGGTCATACTCAGACTCACTGGCAGACTCACTCATACCGAGACCCACACACTCATACTCACTCGCACTCATATTTTTCATACTCATACTCATACTCAGATCCACAGATGCTCAGGCTCACTCATGCGCAGACCCACTCACACTCAGGCCACTCACACTCAGATCCACTCATACCAGCTCATACATATTGCTACCAGGCGGTATGACGCTTTCCCGCTGCGTATCACTCAGACTCAGACTGACATTCTGAATTGCCAACGCTCGCACACACATGCACACACACGCACACACTTTGAGATCCGCTGGTACTCAGAACCTCCTCGCCCTGTTACATATTCATACACAGGCCACCTGCACTCTGATCAGTCACACTCAGACTTGCCACTCGCTCCGTCACTCATACCCATTCCAAGTGATACGCAGCACACTGACCCATTCACCGCCAGGCCGCATTTCATTTCCCATTCGCGCCCAATATGGTGGGGACCCATCGCGCGATTCGCTTGTTTGGCGCCGCCGAGTTCTCTCTCTCTCTCTCTCTCTCTCTTTTGATAGCGTCATGATCACCGCAACGCAGCAGGCGTGGCACTTTGGCACCCCAACAGACTCGAGATCCCGTTGGATCCCGTTACGTGTTTGTCAGAGCCTCGTGGATCCCATGTATCAATTTGTTGGATCGTTTTTAAAGTGGAAGTTTCGGGGATCCAAGTATTGCTGTAATAGCTTTGTAGTGTTGACGATCACTATTGTGGGCGAACAGCCAATGGGATTCATCAAGCCGTGGATCTGCAGATCAATGTTCTAACGCTAGGCGCTTCGCGTAACCCCGCCAGTCCATCCAGAAAAGATGTCCAGGCGAGTTGCCTTGACCAGAGATGTGAAGGAGCATGCAGTGGAGTAGAGCGCCAGCGAAACTGTCATACCCTAAGAGGGGGAGGATGGATGAGGAATCGGAGGAAGAGGAGGAGTAGGAGGAGGAGGAGGAGGAAGAGGAGGAAGGGGAGGAAGAGAACGAAGAGGACGAAGAGGATGAAGAGGAGGAGGAGGAGGAGGAAGAGGAGGAGGATGAGGAGGTGGTGGAGAAGGAGTGGGGAGGAGAAGGAGGAGGAGGAGGAGGAGGAGGAGGAGGAGGAGGAGTGGGGAGGAGAAGCAGGAGGGCGAGCAGAAAGGCCAGAGGCCTCTTGAATGCCTCTCGGAGTCTCTTCGGATGCCTCTTGGGAATTTCTTAGAGTTCCTGGGGGTCGTCTTCGGGGCCTCGTGGCAGTCCGTGGGGCCCCTTGGAGCGTCTCAGGTGCCTCGGGGGAACCTCTCAGGGCCTCTTGGGGATCTATTGGGAGCTTCTTGGGGACCTGGGGGCATCTTAGGGCCTCCTGGGCGCCTCTTGGGGCCCTCTCAGGGCACTCTTGGGGCCATCTTGGATGAGTTCGATGAAGCAAGGGGCGGTGATCCATTAGCCCCCCTCTCTGCAGCTCCTGGAAACACCTCTTTGAATTCGCTTGGGGCGTTATTGGGGCGCTCTTGGGGCCGTCTTGGGACCCTCTTGGGCTCCTCTTGGGACTCTCTTGGGTCTCCTTAGCGCCATCTTGAGGCCTCGGAGAGCCGTCGACGGCGAAACGGCGAGACGGCACGACATATCAATGTTCTTGAGCTTGTGACGGATTTTGGCCTCTCGGTGGCTCCCTTGGGAGGCTCCATAGCCACTTGGAGCCGTCTGAGGGCGGTCTTGGAGCCTTTTGGAGCATGTTGGAATCCATTGTGAGCTATCTTGAGCCATCTTGAGCCGTCTGGGAGGTCATCTTCGGCTCTCTGAGGCCCCCTTGGAATCGTCTTGGACCGTCTTGGACGCTCCACTGGGTCGCGACCCCCCCGTCCAGGTCCAGGGGAGAGGGTAGGGGGAGGGCTTAACCTACCAACCCGCTCGCAAGCCATCTAGCTCACTCCCACCCGCCATCCCTATACATAAGTAACACCCGATTCTGAACATGTTCAGCGATCGTCTTTGGATGGGCAGCTACTGGGAACCAAAGCCGACCCCAGGTGCGCGACGATTGGGCGAGGTGCGCCACGCGTGCCAGGGGCGCCACGCGCGCCAGGCACCCTGGGGGCCCGAGCGTGCCAGGCACGCCTGGTGCGCCAGATGCGCCATGTGCTCCGAGTGCGCCAGGTGTGCCGCACACTCCAGCCGCGCCAGGTGCGCCGCGTTCGGGGCACGTGCAGCGTGCGTCAGGTGCGCCAGGTGCGCCTGCGCACGTGACAGCACACATCGGGAACAATGTCGGTCCCCGACATCCTTGTCGAAAACCGATGCCCATCATTGTGTCTGCCGGGCCTGCGCACAGCAGGCCACGCGCCACCACCGCCGCCGTCCCTGTCAAAAACCACTTGACTGTGATCGCGGGATGGCCGCGCATGATCCAGATTGTAGTGGCCTCCGGCCAGTGCCGCCGATCCGGGGTGCTACCGATTCTGCTTGCAACGGATGGCCTTTTATGTTTTAAAGTAGAGCGCTCGCTCGAGACATCCTCATAAGATGGAGATATTAAACTCGCTAGGGCAACCTTCGGATATTTGAAAGTGACGATCTCGCGTGAACAGCCAAACTCATGGGAAGTCCCCCCCCCCCTCCCAGGCCTGAATGGCGTCAGCCATGGCGTCAGCCCCCGCCCCCCCCCCGAGTCCCCCGTCCCGGGCATGAATGGCGTCAGCCATGGCGTCGCCCCCCCCCCGCTCTCCTCTACCGAGCCTGAATGGCGTCAGCGCCCCCCCCCGATAGAGTGAAGCTTGAGCGAGCTCCCCCGTCCCTCCCCCTCCCAGGCCTGAATGGCGTCAGCCATGGCGTCAGCCCCTCCTGGGCCTGAACGGCGTCAGCTATGGCGTCAGCCGCCTCCCCCTCCCCCCCCCGACAGAACGAAGCTTGAGCGGGCTCCCCCCCCCTCCCCCCTCCCGGGTCTGAATGGCGTCAGCCATGGCGTCAGCCCCCCCCCCCCCTCCCCCTCGACTCCCTCCTCCCGGGCTTGAATCTCCCCCTCCCCCTCCCCCCTCCTGGGCCTGAATGGCGTCAGCCATGGCGTCAGCCCTCCCCCCCCCCCCGACAGAGCGAAGCTTGAGCGAGCTCCCTCCCTCCTCCCAGGGCCTGAATGGCGTCAGCCATGGCGTCAGCACCCCCCCTCTCCCGACATCCTCCTCGCGGGCCTGAATGGCGTCAGCCATGGCGTTCCCCCCCCCCCCCCCACCCCTCCTCTCCTCCCCCCCAAAATGATGGCGCCCGCTAGTGGTCTCCGTAGGTGCCTCTGAATGGTTGACAGGTTTTGATCTCAAGGTGCTGCCGGGGACTCGAACTAGAAGGCACTGCTCGAACCCGCGGACCCGACATCTGGCGCACCAGTTTTTCTGACGGCTGCGTGGACCCCTGGAGGTCTGGACCACTTACCCAGGGTCGGTTTTCCGTCCTGAGTATGTTTCTGTCGGTCCTGGGGCCTGTTGGGAGCTCCCGGAGGCCAGAAGTAGCCAACAAAACCCGCCGTTCAATGTTGGTTCGGAACCTCAGATCCCTGGGGACTCGATCAGAGGGGGTGTCGTGCTCGTCTGTCGTTGGCTTTCCTGCACCCACCCCTTCTCCAGCAGGTTCGACGAGAGCCCCGGCAGGACGATGACGACGCACTGGCCTTCGGGAGCGGCCAAGAGGGAGGTGATGACCGGGGTCATGATAGCTCCCCATAGTTCATGGCGCATCTTCTCATTCCACTATGTTCCCTGGACCCCGCCTGGGCCGCGCATATGCTGTCGGCCATAATCTTTGAATCCCCCTCTGGGACGTCCCCCTCTTGGACGCCTCCAAGGTGGGAGGGCAGCGTGCCCTGAGACCCAGGCGTTGCAGTGCTTGCTCACCGGGGCGTGTTCGCCCAGTCTCGGGACCAGGGGCCATCACGGGTCGATCCGGCCTGAGAAATGCCGGAGGAAGACAGGGTCTGGAGCTCCAGTCGCGAGTTCTCGCGACGTGGCAGTCGTTCTGCAGCTTCGGATCTCAGGGAAGAGCGCTGCTCCAGGCCGTCGGCCCCGTTGGGGGCAGCCCCTTGCCGGGCGAGTGCGGAGTGCGCCCTCGGTCGCTCGGCGGGGAGAGGACTGCGAGGGGAAGGCAGCGTGGGCGGCGGTGGAGCGAGTGAGTCACGGAGGGAGGGAGGGAGGGAAGCGAGGAGGGAGGAGGGGAGGCTGGAGGCGGGAGGGGTGGAGGGGTGGAGGAGTGGAGGGGAGAGAGGAGGGGAGGTATACGCGAGGCGAGGCGAGGGAGGGAGGGGAGGGAGGTGAGAGGGAGGGGGGGAGGGATGGAGGAGTGGAGGGGTGGGGGAGTGGAGGGGAGGGAGAGGGGAGGCAAGCGAGGCGAGGGGGGGGGGGCTTGGAGACGGGGGCTTGGAGGCGAGGGGGAGCTGCCGCGCCCCGCGCAGGCGTGGTCTCCTGCTCTGGGGCAGGCGCCTCGGAGCTCTCCTCCTCCTCCTCCTCCTCCTCCTCCTCCTCCTCCTCCTCCGCTCCTCCTCCTCCTCCCTTTCCTCTGACTCAGGTCGACTTGGATCGTGGCGTCCGGATGACAAAAGGAGGCTGCAGAGTAGAAACAGTTGCCGACTTAGAAGTTGTGGCCAACAAATCTGACCTAGGTGAACGCAGCTGGACGACAGAAGGCAACGGGGCCAGAGGAGAAGGAAGGTCCCGCAGGGGCATGCAGTATGCTCTCACCTGGTCGTGAAGGTGGTGGTGGAGGTGGCGGTAGGCCTCCTCCTCCTCCTCCTCCTCCTCCTCCTCCTTCCGAGGAGGAGGAGGAGGAGGAAAACGCCGCGCCCGCCTCCTCATCCTCCATCTTCCTCATTTCCTCGCCCCTTGAATCCCCTTCTTGCCTGAGCCAGAGCGGCAATGACGATCCTCTCACAAGGGGGTGATGATTCACTGGGGATTGGCCATGCAATGGGCATATTGAACACGGGACTGCCCTGCCAGCAGGTGCCGCGCTGATGTTTCTGATTCCCCGATGGTCACGGGGAACCACATACATTTTGGGAGTATGTTCGGAAACTGGAAACATCGACGACAAATGCGCCCTCACGACTCGCACATCAGGATTTCTTTTCGTGTGCATCTGCGGCGTAGCTCAGCATCGGGATTGCCTGACATGGTCGGGTCGGGACCCTTCCAGTAGCCGACGTTCTCCCCGTGGCGGAAAAGCGTCGGGATGTTCTAGTTCTCGTCGCTCTGGGGTGCTAGTTGGGTCATCCAGGGGCGAAGGCTCGCAGGCGGCGTGCCCAAGTGTGGGCCAGCTGTGTGCGTTCACAAGTTTCGGGTCTACCTCGCCACCTCAGACGGGCCCAGCTACCAGCGGATCCTGCGGGCGAGGCATGCGATCCACGCAGCAGTCAGCAGGTAGTCCGCATACCATTACCCGTCCATGGGATGCGCGCCCCCCCCTCTCTCCCTCTTCGGCGCCGTCGCCATCCTCCTCATCCTTAGCCATCCTGGCTCAGGCCATCTTGGCTCAAGCCCTTCTGGCTCAATTTGTTTCCGGCCACTCTCACAATGTTCTGATACTGTACAAGCAGGGAGTGTAATAAACAGATGGCGGCGCCAATGCCGCCCGCCAGCGCAATGCGCATATTCCTATGCACACTGCTGGCGTTCCTCTGCGACTGCCAGCTGGATGACGCCGTGGGCCTCGTCCAGTCGTCGCTGTCCTGGCACCCGCAAGAGGCAGAGCAGGCCCTGGGGCCTTTCTTCGCGAAGGGCGAGGTCGACGAGGCGGCGGCGACGGTGACAGGGCTGGCCTGGCCGGCGCACGACTATGCTCAAGCCGGCTCCCGGATGCCCAGGCCGGCACTGATCACCATGGTGAGGAGGGCGCGCCTCGGCAACCGCCTCTTCCAGTGGGCGGCGATGCTCTCTATCGCGAAGGAGGCCGGGGCGCGAGCCATGGCAGCTGCGAATGGAAGGTACAGGCCCAGCGCGATCCCGCAGCTCGCCAATCTCGACGAGCTCGTCTGGTCGAGTGAGGACTTCGAGTGGCTGAACGCACAGCCCAGCAAGTGTCACATGTGGGACTTCGCCTGGCCTGTGACGCTCGACTATGGCCTCGAGAACCTGTCCAACTGGACCGCCATGGGCATGCCCAAGGGCGAGATGCACATTCGCGCCTCGCAGGAGCCGCGCAAGGGAATGAACTGGGCGCGCATGTTTGCCGACGCAATTCTGACCACGCCGACCCCCAGCCCCTGCACGGTGGTCGAGCTGGACGGGTTCTGGCAGCGGTCCGAGTTCTTTGTGCACCACCTCAGCTGGCTCCGCCCCACCTTCTGGAATCCGAAGGTCGCGGACACGGCCAAGCAGATCATGGACACGTGGCTCGGGCAGACAGCCCCGGCAGGTGCGGTGGTGGGCATCCACCTGCGTCTTGGGGACTATCCAGCGGCCTGCAGCAAACCCCGCCGACTTGCCAGCTCAGCAATTGCGAAGCAGCGCAGCAGCAGAGCAGCGCAGCAGGGAGAAGGAGGAGGAGGAGAAGGAGGAGGAGGAGGAGGAGAAGAAATAGGAGGAGGAGGGGAGGAGGAAGAGGAGGAGGAGGAAAGGGAGGAGCAGGAGCTTAGAATCCGCCTCAGTTCAGCGCCAAGTTTGACTAGAGCCGGTGTTCTTCTACACCTCCTCCTTGTCCACAGCCTTGTTCTCCTCCTCCTCCTCCTTGCTCCTCCGTGCTCCTCCTCCCCCTCGTCCCCCTCCTCCTTGCTCTTCCTCATTCTCCTTCCTCCTCCTCCTCCTCCTCCTCCTCCTCCTCCTCCTCCTCCTCCTCCTCCTCCTCCTCCTTCTCCTCCTCCCTCCTCCCCCTCCTAATTATCCCCCTCGGCTATGCTCCTCTCCTGCCTCCCTCTCCTCTCTCTCTTTCTCTCCCTCTCTCTCTTGAGGGCGCCTTGAAGGTCTCGCTTGGGCTGACCTGTGGCCTCGTGGAGCCTCGCGGGACCTCTCCGAGGGCCTGCTGGGGGGCCGACTGGGTGCCTCCCGAGCGCCCCAGAGCTCGCAGGCGCTGTGGCTCTGCTGCAGGGCTCCCGCACGGGGAGGCCCAGCGGAGCCGCCGTCCTGGGTCGGTCTGTTCGGGCGTCGAGGCCGCCTCCCGCAAAGGACCAAACGGCGTGGACACCGAGACCCTCGGAGGTGATTCCACGGATCTCGGCCTTCGATGCAGAGGAGAAAGCGGCATAAACATACGCAAACGTCTGGCGTTCCGCGCAGAATTCTTGGATCCGATGCTGTCCCGCGCGGCAAGAGACGAACGACCGAGTACGAATGGCCGAGAGCCGCTAGAGACTCTGGTAGTCCCTGGACGCATCCTGAACCACGCGCATCGTGACATTGTTTTCGTCCTACCTGTACCTGTTCAGCCAGAGCGTTTCATGGGCAGGCCGCGATCAACGTGGGTCCGAATGGCAGTTTTGGCTCTGTTGCTTTTGCTCGCGTCCGGTGACTGACCAGGCCGCGGTCTCGTACGTGACCTCGGTTCGACTTGGGGGCTATTGAGCTTCTCTTGGACCGCCTTGAACTTATCCAGGGTCGTCTAGAGACTATCTTTAGTTAAAGCGCGGTGGAGGCATCATGACGTAATATCTCAATTGTGACTTGTGTGATTCGCCTTGCAGGATTTCGCTGGAAGGCTCCTCGGGCTCTTCGAGAGAGCTTCGCGAGGGCTCGTGGGCACATCTTGGAGCCTTTTTGGGGGGGCTGTTGGGCTTTTGCAGGGCGGTGTCGGGGCCGTCTGGTTGGTCCTCGAGGCCATGCTCAAGGCTCTCTCTTGGGGCGGTCTGGGCCAGTCTTAAGCGAGGCGATCCATGACATGTGCGCACACTGCGAGTGGGGCCGGATGGCCGCTCCGAGGCGCTACTACATGAATGCGCTACCAGATATTTGTTGACCGCCATGTTTGAACGCCCCACGCGTGCAGAAGGCACGTTGGCGGACATCGGAACGGGCAGGAACCTGGACATGGATTACTATAGGAACGGGCTCCTGGAAGTCAAGCGGCACCGCAGCGTGGATTCGCTCACGTGCGTCATTTTCTCGGACGACATCAACTTGGCATACAACGCCAGCTTGGAGCTCGAGTCGTGCACGAATCGCATCCCCGTGTACCCGTGCACGGAGCTCGGCAAAAAGTATCACTGTGCGCCTTCCGAAAGGGTCGTGGACGATAAGGTGAGCTTCTACATGATGAGCCAGCTCCCAAACATTATCATCGCGGACTCCACCTACTCCTTCTGGGCCGCCATCCTGGGCCCGCACAAGCCGATGGTGATCACCCCCAGGATCGTGGCGCCCGCGCGCGTCGCGAAGCGCGGAGAGTACTCGTACCTGAACTCCGAGCTCTACGGCTGGTGGAGCGTGAACGCCTCCGTCGGCGCCCACACCAGCAGAAGACCTCTCACAACCGCGGCGCCGACCGAACCCGTCGGAGGCCCGCGCGGAGCTCAGGCCGCCCGCGGGGGCGCGAAGATGGCCGCGCTCCGCGCGTCGTGGTCTGGGCTGGACCGGCTGCCCTTCTCTCCGTCGCGGCGCGAGCGCGCCCAAGCGCGAAGGGAACCGCGCGTGGCGCCTCGCGCGGCGCGCTCCGAGAAGCCAAAGGGTGACCCAGAGGGGTCTCGGGCCGAAGCCTCCCGCGCGCACCTGGCGGCATCCCCTCCCGCCGGTGCGCTACCCCCCCCCCTCCCCGGAGGAGAGGGCTCTTCGGGAGTCGGTCAGTGCCCAGGGCCTCGTCGAGAACAAAGGAACCCCTAGCCTTAGTAGCACGATGGAGACGTGGCCTCACCGAGGTTCCCTAATCTGGGCAGTTTCGCTCGATGCATCTGCAGAAAAGACTCCTATCCCTGATGTCTCTGGCCTCCCTGACTTAGGTCCCCTCCCGTAGGGTTAGGGGTGCTTTTATTGCCAGTCACAGGGGGGTCAGCACCAGGGATGTCACCAGCTCGTGGACGACGGAGGAGGTTTTGGGACGCCTGGGGCCGTGGCAGGGGGCCCGCTCGAGGAGGTTTGACGTTTGGGGCCGTGTTGGGAGGCCCCGGCGTGTTCCCCGGGGGGCCCGCTCTTTCTCGAGGCGCTTGCGCTTCCTCGAGGACGTGGCGGCGTCCCCGCCTGGTCGCGAATGACTCCTTGGCATTGCCCCAGGGAGAGGAGGAGGAGGAGGAGGAGGAGGAGGAGGAGGAGGAGGAGGAGGAGGAGGAGGAGGAGGAGGACGAGGAGGAAGAAGAGGAGGAGGAGGAGGAGGAGGAGGACGAGGAGGACGAGGAGGAAGGAGAGGAGGAGGAGGAGGAGGAGGAGGAGGAGGGAGCGGTCTGGCTCCGACTCAGCCGAGACCGGCGCGGGCATCTTCGAAGGTTTCAGTGTCCACGTTGTTGTTTGGTCTTCTGGCCCAGCGAGGCCGTTCAAAGAGCCCTCCGGGACAAGCTGAAGCTGGAGACCTCAGAGGAGGAAGAGATCCTAGAGATCCGAGGCTCCGAAACAATTGGACCGGCCAGTTTTGGGCTATTCTCCGCCTCAGGGGGCCCTCAACTCAAAAGCCATTCAGGACGAACAGCTGGCCCTGGGGAAGTGGTCCAGACTGACCTCCAGGAGTTCATGCATCAAAAAATGAGCGTCGGATGTCTGGGACGCCGATACCGCCGCCCGCCCCTCTTCGCCATGGCTGGATTCGCCTCGAAATCCTGGTCAGCACGCGTCCAAGGAGAGGTCCGGTGTGCAGCAGCATCGGTGTCGGTGTCCTTCTGGCCCCCCCAGGACCAGTCGCCAGCCCGCCCCCGCTGGCAGACTGCGGGCGACAGGGTCCAGATGGAGCAGGAGCGGGATTACGCCGTGCAGGTCCAGATGAGCGAGTGGGCCGCCTGACCAGCCTTAATCACTGGCCGTCCTCCTCGTGCTTCATCCCTCCTCCTCCAGTTGGTTGCTCCCTCCCCTCCTTCCGTCGCATTCCCCCCGCCCCCACCTCCTCCCCAATCGCCCTCCTCCCCCCTCCTGGCCGCCCTGCTCCCCATCCTTCTCCAGGGTCTCCTGCTCCTCAGCCTCTCAAGTCCCATCTTGGCTCAGGCCAGGTTTGGTTAATTCGAGCTAGCTGCTTGCGTCGCGATGCCCCAGGGCTGTACCATACGTCTGCTGACTTGAGCGCTGATGTTTGGTCTTCTTTTTGCTCAGGAAGTACCTCACTGGTGAACGCCGGTGTATACTACGTGCGCCGTGCGTGTCCATCCTCTTCTTCGCAGGCGGCTTGGCATGCGGTTCGTTCTGTTCATCTTCGGTGGGCTTGCGATGGTTTAAGATTCCCCTTTGGGACTTGCGGCGCTGGCGGTTGGGGCGACGGCACTGGATTTCAACGCCTTTGTTGCATCTCTACAGTTTGCGGGTTGTCTTGTGTGTTGTCGCATCTTCTGTGGTATTGTTAGATTTTCGTGCCCTCATCTCCGCAAGGTATATTTAAATTCGGGCCCGTATGCATGTCCAGTGTTCGGTGTTTGGTGTGATGCATTCCCACGGTTACAGTGTGGTGCTGCGCTGCCTTTTTGGTATTGGGTACACTGGTTGTTGTTTGTTGGCCGTATGTCCCACCGTACTACTTCATGTTTGTGCTGGTTTCGTGGTTTCACTACGACAAGCTTGCCGTGGCTCGCTGGTTGTGTCTTCACGCGGCTCTGGAGGTGGGCCTCGCTATAGATTCGCTCGTGTCTGGCGTTGACGAGGGCGTGGTGCAGTATGCTTGCCGCTTGCCGCAAGGTGCTCTGGATCGTGCTCGAGGTCGTCGTGGTGCTCGTGCTGGCCACGTCCGCCCAGAGTTGCCGTGCATTGCTGCTGTAACAAATCCTTCTCACCAGCCCCCCTCCATTCTCATTGCAGTCCTCCTTTCTCCTCCCCTTCCCCTCGCTTCCCCCCCCCCCCCCGCTCCTCCTCCCCACCTCCTCCCCCTCTCTTGCCGCCCGCCGTCCCCCTGCTTATTGCTCCGGGCAGACGCGGCGCTTTCGGAGGAGCGCCCCGCGGCGTCGCCCCCCCCCCCCCCCCCCCCTGGCACACCAGCGCGCAGGGAGAATGCCAGAGTGCGCACGACGCACGATGCGGAGTTGCGGAAAAAGGCGGGGAGGTCTCGGCCAGCAGTAGCGAGGGAGAGGGAGTCGAGAGGAGGTTCCAGGGAGGCGACAGGAGGCTCAAGGGTGGCGATTGGACTGGAGCAGGAGGGCTCGACCTATATTGTGTTTTGGCGATTCCGTGGGCCGTCTTTGTTTCGATTGTGTTCTGCCGCAGAGGAGGAACGACGAGAAAACATTGGAACGCGAACCCAAAACGTGAAAAGGAGGCTGTAGGGAGGCGATGGCAGGGGACCGCGATGGAGATCGCGGAACGATTCTGTTGGCCGTGCATTACATCGCGCTGCGCCGGCGTCGCTCCTTCACCACGCCTAGCGGAAGGAGGGCGAAGCGAAGGAGCGGGAGGAGGAGGAGGAGGAGGAGGAGGAGGAGCTCGAAGCGAAGGAGAGGGAGGAGGAGGAGGAGGAGGAGGAGGAGGAGGAGGAGGAGGCGGAGGCGGAGGCGAGGCGGAGGCGGAGGAGAGGAGAGGAGGGGAGGAGGAGGAAGACGAAGAGGAAGAGGAAGAAGAGGAAGAGAAGAAGAAGACGAAGAAGACGAAGAAGAAGAAAAGGACGAAAAAAAAGAAGAAGACGAAGAAGAGGAGGAGTAGGAGGAGCAGGAGGGAGGAGGGAGGAGGGAGGAGGGAGGAGGAGGAGGGAGGAGAGGAGGAGGGAGGAGAAGGAGGAGGAGGAGGGAGGAGGAGGAGAAGAGGAGGCGGAGGAGGAGGAGGAGGAGGAGGGAGAGGGACCAGAGCAAGCCCAAGAATCCTCCGGCCCCGAGCCCCCTCCCAACTCCTTCGAGCAGCCCCCTCCACGTCGGGGGGCGCCGCCTCCCCCCCCCCCCCTCTTGACCGAGGAGCGCCCCACGGGCCTGCCACTCGGGGCAGGGGGTGGGAGCAGGAGGAGGCAGGAGGAGGAGGAGGAGGAGGAGGAGAAGGAGGAGGATATGGAGGAGGAGGAGGAGGAGGACGAGGAGGAGGCAGGAGGAGGAGGACGAGGAGGAGGAGGAGAAGGAGGAGGATAGGGAGGAGGAGGATAGGGAGGAGGAGGAGGAGGAAGAGGAGGATAGGGAGGACGAGGAGGACGAGGAGGAGGAGGAGGAGGAGGAGGATAAGGAGGAGGAGGAGGAGGAGGAGGAGGAGGAGGAGCGAGGACACGCACGCCGTCGCACTGTCCGCAGGAGCTGCGGAGATGCGGGGCCAGCAGACCCAGGGATGGGTCAAGCAGCGGCGAGGCGTCCCAGCGTGCCTGGAGGCCTAGCAAGCCATGCTCCAAGAACATTTTTTGTGGTTTCCGCGAAGTGTTCTTCGACCATGCCTGGTTGAGACGGTCTTGTTTGAACTCATCGGGTTGAGGTTCTAAGAACGTTGCTTGTGTTCTAGAACATGTTTGGGTTCTGCGAACATTTGGTGGTAGGACTACAGGAATGCCGGGACGGTCGGCCCCTGCTCAAGAGAGACACATACAAGCTCAAGGAAGTTCCCAGCGAGAGCTCCGTTTTGAAAAGGACCTGCCAATCGTGGGATACCCCGAGTGGTAAAGGATGTCCACGCCGTCGCAGTGGCCGCAGGAGCTGCAACGATGCAAGGCCATCAGGCCCAAGGAGGGACACAGATATGTCCAAGGGAGTCCCCAGCGAGAACTCTGTTTCGAAAAGTATCTGCCCTCCCATCCGTACAAAAGTCGCGCAGCGTCAGAGCTATTGTCGCACAGTTGGAAGAAGGCCCACGGGAGAGCCCCCTTTGAACGCCGAGCCGCCGCCGTCCATCCGTGTGACTGTGAGCTTTTGGCCGCGCATGCTGAGGGCGTTTCTTGCTGGAGCTCCATGTTGCAGTCAATCCGCCTTCTGCCCATGCACCAGTTCGATGACCTGTCAAGGCGAGCGCGCGCGTTTTTGTTATTCCCATATCCTAAGATGGGGTTCTTCTTATTACTTGGACGCCTCCTACTCCTTCCTCCTACTCCTTCCTCCTCTTCTTCTCCTCATCCTCCTCATCCTCCTCATACCCAGACTCACTCATACGCAGACTTACTCATACCCAGACCAAATCACACTCAGGCTTCTTCATGACACAGTAAGCTCACACCCACTCAAATAC